TGTGATGTCATACTCTGGACTCAACCCTGTCAAAAACTCAAACACCCTATTTCTCTCAACAAGTTTTCTGTAGGTCTTAGCATCATTAGTGGTGTCCTAGGCTATAGCTTCTATCAAATCAATTTCCTATCATAAAGACTTCAGTATTGAGAAATAAACAGCTAACAGTTTCTCCCTCTGTCTCAAATTCTTCACATCATTTCTCAGTTTGTAAACCTTGGCCACATTTAATTTCTGGGAATAGGTTTCAGCAACACTATCCCAAATTTCTTTTGCTGAATTCATCCACAAATAGTGCTGACTAATCTGCGGTTGCATTGAGTTCACTAGCCGTCCAATAACAATATAATTTTCTTGCATCCATTTTTCATATGATGGATCATCTTCCGAAGGAGCCTTCTTGCTCCCGGAGATAAAACCCCATTTGCCTCTACTGCAGATATGAATTTTTACTGATTGTGACCATGCCAGATAATAAGTTCCATCCAACTTGACTGTGATCACAGCTAGTAATGAGTCTACAGAGGCTCCCGGAACTTGTTCGGATTCAGCAACATGCTTGTTTTCAACTTCTGAAGGGTTCATCTTCTTAAATACTTCGAAAATAACTTTTAACAACTTCGAATAACAACAAATGAAGACAGAACAAAAATTGTGTTGTGAGCCAACATCTATGTCGCCATACCAGCTTCCTGCGTCAAACCCTAAAGCCGGGAGAAACAGAGAAATCTCAGCCGCTCCTTGTAGACTTCACAGAACACCAATCTACTTGATTCGATCTTCAAGATGAAGGATGAGAAGACTTTCAGTCATTGAGCGCCCGTGTCAAACTCCCTATGGGGCCCACCATCAAATTTCTCTAGAAAATTAGGGTTTCGGGCAACACACTTGAATCTGTCAGGAGGACGACAAAACTAGTCCCCTTCTCTCCAGAAACCACTAACAACTGGGCTGAAATAGGTTTCTTTACCTATTCATACGATTCAGTTCTCCATACACACTATGTATGGGGAAAAAAGGTGAAAAAAAAGGGAAAAGTTGAGCCTGCTCTGATACCAAGAAGAAAAACAACCTTTTGAAAAGAAAGGACTGTTTAAAAAGTTGCAGAAAATCAAAAGGAAGTAGCAGAAATCAGGTTCAAGAAGAGAGAAGAAGAAGAAGAAGAAGGTGGCGGCAACTAGGGTTCAGAGAGAGATTTTTTTGAACATAACTCTCTCTTACACCCCTAATTCCATTTCATTAAGTTAAACTTTAATAATTTACAGAGAGGCCCCCCCATTACAGCAAAGAACATAAAAATAAAAAAGGATAAACAGCCTATGGGCCATTCGGCCCATCTTCTCTACAATAACCACCCATGGAAGGTAAATGGTAAGGCCTCCACGCATTAGAGTTTACAATATGGAAATGAAAAGTAAGTCTTTTACTACTTAAAGGACAAGTATTTCTACAATGCTTTGAAAACTCACATGATTCACAATGCAAACATGACAAACTGACTCCTTTAAACAATCAAAGTTGAAAAAGACATGACCTAGCTAAAAATAGCAGAACATGACATGACTTATGGACTCTTAAGAGGAAGATCCAAAAGCAACTTTCAAGGGTTGTCCTTGGCTTTGCTCTAGAACATCAAGCATTTTTATTCTGTTGCCTCATGACCATTCCCAATCACCTTTTGTGGAGAAAACTAGGAAGACAAAAGGTCAGCTTAACGAACAGAGGTTGAAGATGAGGGCAGTTCTGGAATTAAAAATTTAATTTTAGTCGGGGCAGCTCGATGGTTTTAGGAATAAATGGAGAGTAGAGTTTTGGAACTTAGTGGAGGGAGTGGGGCCTTTTTGAAGTCAGCTAAAAGGGTGGACTCTAATGTTTTAATTGATAGAAATTCTGGTGTGGTGTGCGTTCCATTGGGACATGTGGTAGGTCAGTTAAGAGTATAGACAGGGCAGGGATTGGAGTTTGTTCGAAAAGTGTAGCCAATAGCTTAAGTTGGGCCATGTGGCTTTCTGGAGGTCTGAGGGGACCATTTCTCAAGGAGGTCTGAGTGGTTGAGTTAACGTAAACAAGAAAAATGGTTTATCTTTTAAATGTCTACAGCCCAAAAGGATTGGAATATCAAATAGGTTGGGCTCGTGTAAGATGTTAAGAGGTGGAGAGCTGGATTTCGGTGGTTTACAGATCCGATTGATCAAGGAATAAGATTGGAATGAAGAGGATTGTTCTGTTAGATGAGGAGAAGTTTTCTGATCTTAAGAAGGCTCAAAGTGATGTTTCAGTTGATTGTTCTCCAGGCTGTTGTGATCGAGATGATGCTGAAAAATTGAGGTTTCTATTTCATCTGAAATCTAGATGGATGAAGCTAGGACGACTAAAGATTGTGATTCTACTTTGCTCACTAATCTCTTTGCTGTCTTAGAGGAGGCAACAGGATTATTGGAGTGGAGCTTGGGTTGGGTGATGGAGTGAAGGAAGCCAGGAAAGCAGAAGACCAGAGTGGGAAAAACCAAAGATGTTGGAGGCGTTGTAGAAGGAATATAGTCGAAGATGTAGGTGATATGGGCTGTCTCTAGGGCGTGATTCCTCTTGATGACCATTTCTCAGATGAGGAGGTTGTGGTTGGTAGGCTAGGGGTGGAGAAGTGACGTAGGAGGAAGATTGAAGAAAGATAAGGCTGAAGTTGAGGAGTTGGTTCTATGAAACGTTGTAGCTCAAGTAAGTTCTGTGGGGCGTAGGAGAAAGATGAGGCTGCAGTTGAGGAGTTGGTTCCTATGAAACGTCGTAGCTCAAGTAAGTTGCATTTAGTTCACGTGACAAAGGTTTTCTCAAGGTTGAAACTTGATGTAGTTGGGGCAGGTCCTACAAAAAGATATATAAAGGTTTACAAGAGAAAAGGAGTGAAGAAGAATGAGTCAACTTTAGGGGCTCCTGGGGGGAGGGACATCAAGCAACACTCAGGTTAGGAACTCAAAGGGCTGAACTGCTTCAAGAGGAAAATAAAACTGTGGATGGGAATGATTTGATTTTGAGAGCTGTTGATAGAAATTTAGAAAAGGTGGAAAGGAATGGTGACATGGCCCTTGAGAAAATTGTTGAAAGAAACGTTCAGGTGGGTAAAAACTTTGACTTGTTCTTTTGGGGTGGCAAGGTGTTTTCTAGAAAAAAGGATTAGGGGTGGCTGCTGTAGTTAGTTCTTTGTTTCAGAGGAGTTGGAGCCTTGGAGGTCTGTGGTTGCTTTCGGGTTGGGGGTTTACGAGGTGGTGCTGTGATTCAGGAAGAGCCTGGCCTTTGATTTTGGTTTAGTTTATGTATTTGTGTCCTGTTGAAATTTGGTGTAGGCGTTGTCTTTATTCTCTTGGGTGATTTCTTGTCACCTTCCTTGTGTACTCTCCTTTTTATTTGTAATGAATTTTTCTTCTCTTTCAAAAAAAGGGGAGGGGGCGGGGGGAGGGTGGAGGGTGGAGGGGAGAGATCTTACTTGCAGGTAACTTCAAACCAAACATCCTTTCCATTATCTCTTTTCTAAAAGGAAAGGTATAAGGACTCAGTTTACAGATTCAACCAACAACAGGTTTGGACCACCCTTTTTAGATTCAATTCTAATTTGAAAACTGAATGGAATGACTCCTTATTGCAATAGGAATAAGGTGTGCCCGTCAAACACTAAGATATGGACTTGGGTGCTTAAAATAACTTAAATTACTAATCTTACTGAACCTTCTAAATTGTAGGCAATTCCAACACAATGTTTTAAAACGTGTGAGGCGTAGTTCAGAATGTAAGAGGTGTAACAGGAGGAAGGGGAGGAGGAACAAGAGGAAGGGGGGATATCATTTTTTTTCTTTATTTTTAATAAAAATATTTTATATTAAGAAGAATAAAGGTGCATAGCATTAGTTGAAAAGGGGGGGGGGGGTCTGGGGGGAGAACCAGACAAACTCCCCAGCCGAAAGGGGTTGGGGGCTTTCTCCTTATCTTTTCTTCCCTTTCCTTTCCTTTTCTTCTCTTTCTTTTTCTTTCCCTTCCCTTTTCTTTTCTTTTCCTTTCCTTTCCTTTTTTCTTTTCTTTTTTTTTGTCTTTTTATACGAGGTGTGCATGAGGTGTACGCCTCTAGCACACCTCATGAAAAAAGCGTATGAGGCGTATGCCTCCCACGCCTTTTAAAACACTGCTCCAACATTATGTCAGACATAGACAAATACAGATACTGTCAAAAGCATACATCAGAGGCCACAATTTTTCCAACATATGTCAAATTTACATGATTTTAGTTCTGAAGGCACCAAAATCAAACAAAATGCATAATTGGTCTGCAGCTTCAAGTTTTCAAAATTCTAAAAACTAATAAAATCTCTCTTAAATGATTTCACACTCAGAGATGATTAATCCTATTCCTGTAACAACAAGATTATAGAAAATAACTTTCAAAATGTTAAAGTTTACCAAAATTAGAATGATCCAATAATTATGAAATTGCAATTGGTGTAGGACTTTGGAGAAAGTTGATCTTTTTTTTCCTTTCATGGTTTCTTTGCTTTTTCCCCATGCCTGCATCAATGAGATGATCATATCATTGGCAAGTCGGATTTTTTTTTTGTTTTTGATCATTTCCGTATTCTCATCTTTTGGAGTTAGCCTCATAACCGAATGATATGGAATGATGATATCAACGGTCAGAATAACATCACAGAGTTGTTCAGTAAAGTGCCTTTAACATTTGGAAAAAGTAAAAACCACTTGATTGCTATGGGTGTTAAGTAGATTCCATCTTGACTCCATAAGGCTTCAATTCATAGACTGTTGCTGCCAAGGGACAAATTAAATGCTTACATCTTAAGGTTATGAATTCTTGTAGCTTCCTTTGAGAGAGTCTTCTTTATTTTCCTCACTTCGGTATGATTTATGTCTGTATAAAACCTTGTATTTCCTGTTTCTGTCATTGATGCAGAAGAAGCAATTATATATTCATATTATCTTATAGCCTGCCATTTGCATTCCAGGTATCATTCTAATAGGAGAGATTGGAGGGACTGCAGAAGAGGATGCTGCTGCTCTGATTAAGGTAGAAATGTGTTCTTAATTAATTTGCATAATCTAATGAGTAACCAAAGACCATTTAAGCAAGAGATATCAATGTTCAATGGATCTTTTGCACATACTAGGCTCTGTCACCTGTAAGGTTCTCTGCCAAGAATTATCATGAGCATATATTTTAGTCATCTGATACACTTCTCTCTCTCTCTCTCTCTCTTTCTCTCTCTCTCTCTCTAAATATGATCAGCAGGCCAAAGAAAAAGGTTATAAATTTGATATTCAGATTTTTGCATATGCTGACCTTTTAGGCTAAGAAATCTGCACCATGGTTTTAAATTTTTGCAAAATTTTGTAAAATCTCAGTGATCAATTTGGCAACTAAATGAAATATGCAACATTTCAAGTAAATCTATTTTGGCCAAAACTTTAGTGTTTTTCAAAATTTGAGGTGTCTCACATTTCATCTGAAATTATAGGTTGTTATTAAAATTAATAAAAAATAATACAATTAGGAAATTATAGTTTTGACATTTAAAACCTTGTTCAACATAAAAAACCTGCTATGCTCTTGTTTGAATTTATTACTAGCAAGTAAATCCATGCAATGCATGGGTTTGAACCAGAATTTGGTAAGAACCTCTGGAAAAGGATCATGTGAAGCACCATTTCTAGATTGTAGAAAGGAACTAAAGGATACAAAGGGCAAGTGTGTGGAAGGGATGAGTTTAGAGATGGAAAACTTTGCGAAGACTGGGAGATGGAGGAGATTGGTGAAGGTGGAAGCCAAGGCTCTACTGTTGGACAGCTTCAGAACTCAAGGTAAGTGCACCCTCAAGGTAAGGGAGATGAATATGTAAATGGTGCTGCTAGTGGGAAAAGAAGAGAGAGAATGGTTTCAGGGGTTTGTGGGAGAAGCTTTATCTCAGAGAAGAGAAGTTACTTGCAGGAGTATGAAGATTGAGGCAGATAGAGAGTTTAAAGCTGACAGAAAATTTAATGCTAAAGGAAGATTCATAGCATGTCATGAATCTTTTGGTAAAGGGAAAAAACAGATGATATGCTTACCCGGATGTAGGAAAGGTGAGGGATGGAATGAAATATTAACAGTTCTCAGAGAGCTTTTGAAGCAGAATGGACAACAAGAAGCCCAGGTCTCTAACAAAGAAAAGGGAACTATTCCAGCAGTGACAAGCATGGAGAAGAAGCAGACGGCCCGCAAAGATGTTTCAGTGATGATTGGAAGTGGGTGGTTCAAACTAGGCAGCAACCACTAGATTGGAAGTTAGTGGCAGAAGCAGTTTTGGAGGAGTCAAATTTAAAAAGATCCATTATGATTACTCCCTTCGAAAGATGTAAGCGTTAACCGATTTACAGGATAATGAGAAAGATTTAGATGCAATAAGCATCAATTCCAGCTCTGGTTCTGTGACAGTTTCAAAATGGTGCCCTCTGTCTAATGCAAAAGAGGCTGGTAGTTAAGATAACATTATCGTTAGAATCATTGGGCTGCCCTTTCATCTGTGGAACAAAGAAGTTTTGCAATCTCTGCCATTCATATGCAGTGCCCAGTTGGTCAGTGTTTTTGCCTATGATCTTCATTCAGCTGCCTTAAAACTCAATGGTGTGAAACCAGAAGAAATACCCAGAAAGGTGGGGCTTGTGTCAGATGGTTTATCCTACTTTGTGTGGTTGACAACCTCCATGGAAGCCTCATTGTGGAAGGAAGGTAGAAGGAAAAAGATGATCAGGTTGAGAATGATTGCTTACGTGGCAATTGCTGGTTGATTGGTTCAGTAGGGAATGGAAATTACACCAAAATGGAACAACAGATGTGGAATGTAGAGGAGGCCAAGTGGCAGAAGGAAGAGAGTTCCACTAAATACAAAAGAGTAGTGACAGGCGGCTCTTCACATGTCCAGGTGTTGATTAATATCATTAAAGAGGACACACATGCGCAATAGGGGGAGAATTTGAACTTAGGCCAACGGTTGGGTAGAGGAAGTGTTGGGGTCAACCAGACCGGTAAGTCAAGCCAGGTGGGGCTATCAGATGAGGCTTGTCAATCCAGTCTCAGGTCCCCAACTGCTGCGAACCACCAATCCAGTCTCAGGTCCAAATCCCTGTCTTTTGTTTGCTCCCCTTGTAAAACCTTCTCTTTGAACTCCCTACTGTGAAACTTTTTTTTTTTTGAAAAGCAAAAAAAGAAAATTCACTAAAAAGAAAAAGCAAATACAACCTAGAGAGGTGTTGAGGAAACACCTCCAAACAAAGCGAAGATGGAGAGAGGAGAGAAAGGGCAAAGTGACGAAGATTTCCAGGCGGTGAACAGGTGGAAATTTGAATTGAACATCGAAGCAAAAAGATTGCTGTTCGAACTTGGAAGGGCTAGAGGTAGAAACCTGCTAAAAATCTGAGAGGATGGGAAGGCGATGGTTCTATTACACGAGGAAGCTGTGCCGTGGTTGAAAGGGTGGAGTAATCAACTCCATCAGGACAGCAGGATGGAGAAACTCTTTGGAGGTGCTAAGGAAAAGATATGAAGTTGAGTTATTAGGGAATATGTCGGTTCCAGTAAAATTTTATGTCACTACCCATGGAAGTTGAAGTGGAAATATGTCGTGGAAATCTAGGCATCAGGGGAGCACTTAGTCACCTAGTTGCCTAGGTGTTACCTATTGTCTCAAACTATGTTAAGGAAAGTAAGGGGGTTGAGACCCTGTTTTGTGGTAGAATTAGAATATATCTTAAAACAATTAGGGGCATATCCTCTGTTTTTTGTCTCAGAAAATAGAAAGAAATTAACTTCAAAGAAGAGGCAGAGCCTTGTTCTTATCTTAGAAAAAAGGGACGAAAAAAACTTAAAATGAAGAAGAAGAAGGGGCAGAGTCCTTGCTTTTGTTCCAAAAACTGAAGGAAAAGAAAAAAAAAAACAAAATGAATAATAAAAAGAAAGGGTGGATCCCCTGTTTTTGTTCCAAAAAACGAAGGAAATGAACTAGAAATATAACAATCAGAGATGGTTGTTTCCTATCTTGAAAAAAGTTGAAAAAAGCAGAAAAAAGAAGAGTAGTTGAGCCTTTATGTCTGTCTGGGAAGAAGTTTTCAACTCCGATTGCTCTAACCTCTAATCCTTAAAGTTTTCGTACTTAAATTGTGTACCAGTCAAACAATCAAACCCTAACAAAAAAAAAGTGCTAAGTTGATTGGGCGAGGGTGAGCACCAAAAAAGTGCTAGTTGCCTACGTTTTGCCTTGACAAGTATGGATATATATATATATATATATTATTGGATCAAATATGGATCCATCCCTATTTGATTCGATTCGATTTAAATATATGCTCATATATAAAAACTTATATTATACCTATTAATAAATTTGATTTAAATGTTCTGTTTTTACTAAATTGTCATCATTCCAAGTTTCATACAAGTAATTTTCAATTGGGTTTTTCATGAAATCAATTGATCGTTTTTCCCTATTATATTTAATGTTGTGTTTTTACCAATTAAATCTGAGTCATTTTTATTTCATTTTTTTAATAATATAAAGTATTTTGATTGTTTTAGTTTAATTTATTTATACTACTTAATATCTGATTGCAATCCGAATTTGATTCAAATATGATAAACAAGTCAAAATAGCATACTATCCTTGATCCTTGTGGATAGAGAATAGGAGAGGCAACAGAAAAATAAAGATCTGTAACGAACAGATAATTTTGTTGACATATATGCTGTTATTCTATTTGTTATTAAATTAAGGCTCTGTTTGGGAAGAATACAAATATGTACACTGTACATCTTTCAAAGTGCAGCTGCTATTACACAGTATTTCTATTGAAAATGAGAAAATTGCTTTCATTAAATATTTCCTAATTCTTTCACTGGGCATACTGATTCTCTCGCAGGAAAGTGGGACTGAGAAACCTATTGTTGCATTTATTGCTGGACTTACTGCACCACCTGGCCGTCGTATGGGTCATGCTGGAGGTACTGTATAGAATATAACTTTTATTGGTTTTAGAATGTTAAGTATGATCTTTATCCATAATGTGCATGCACACTTGTATGAGATTATTATCTATTGAGTGCAGGACATGCACTAATGTGATTAAATTGAGTAATTAGTAGCCTAAAATTCTCAATTGTAAGATTTAATAAGTTTTGGAAAATTAGAGTACCTCAAATGGGAGGTATATTGTGTAAATTCTTTATATGTTGGGTGGTTAGGAATGGATCTAATGTTTTGAGAATGTTCAGTGGGGAATGCATACCCTTAGACAAGAGAGCATTGATTTACCAAAAAAAAAGACGAGAGCGTTGTAGTCAAGAATCCTAAATGGTCTAGTATACTTGAGTCAATCCATGTTGGATTTTCAATTATGACTCTGGTAAAGGAATCCCGATTGGACTAAGACTCTCATACATGTCTCTATATAATATTAGGATAATTGTTGGTTAGTTCCCTAACTAGGATTCTTGGTGAGGAACCCTAGTTGCAGCAAGACTTTTTTATTTATTCCTGAATGATTCTCCCAGTGTGCTGATGTTACTTCATATTTATTCCCCTCTCTCTCCAATGTTGGTTGATTTCCTTTTGATATGTTATTGATCAGACTTGGGATCAGAAGGGTTGCTTATTGGTACCAAGAGAGGGTTTTTAAATTTGACAATTCTTTCCTCTATTCAGTAAAAGCAATAAAAAATGATTAGAATCAAATTTTTACTCAAATCTAAAGAAGAAAGTTATCTTTTCTTATCAAGGTTACTTAGCTTAGAATGGGAACAGAAGAAGAAGAAGAAAGGAGTTGAGAGGGAGTTAATGTTTTGGGCACAAGTGTAATTTTTTCCATTTTTGTTCTTGGGAGCTCAAGCTCCAGCTAGAAGATAAGAAAGTTTATCTTCATCCTTGTAATATTTTTGTGATTAATTAATGAAATGTGGTTATTGATAAAAAAAGAAGAAGAAAGGAGTTGGTGAACAGAGAGAAAAGATAAACCACAAGATAATAATATTATCTAAATTCTTTTTCTTTAGAGTTTTAACAGCACTAACCATTTTCTCATCTCCATAGGGGAGTCATCTGTGTCCAACAACACATTAGGGGTGATCTGTAAGGATTTCCTCTTGGATAACTTTATGTCGGCATGCATCAGTTATTCCAGCTGAAAAGGCTTTTGTTCTTAGCTTAGGATTGGATTAGCTTCAGCTTTCACCTTCAACCTTGTGGGTCAGATCAGAAAGTCAATTATTGCCCATGGTGAATACAAGGGTTGGGTTTTTCACCTTGAGTTGCCAGGGCTGTTGGGTAGCAACTGAAGTTGGATGAACTGAATGACTTATTGATGTGTATTACTGTGGATAAAATATTTAACTAGTAAAAAGCCATATACGACTTCTGTTTGTTAAACAAGATAATAAATAACCAGGTAATTCTATGGAAAAAAAGTGGAACTACTGCTGAGTGTTAAACCATACAAGACTTTTTATTGTACTTGTTTCTTAATTATTCCTTGGTTGAAGATAATAGGTATTTAGTTGTGCGTTTTTCTTTCCTCTCCCACCCTTAATGTGTTTTTTTTTTTTATTCCGGGAGGCTATTTTTTTTACTATTCAAGTGTCTACAGAAAAAAAAAAAAAAAAAAAAAAAAAACTTAAATGTAGAGGTTTGATTTTGGAGCTTCTATTCTCTGGTATGCAGCTATTGTGTCAGGTGGAAAAGGTACAGCCCAAGATAAAATCAAGACCCTCAGAGAAGCTGGGGTTACAGTTGTTGAATCTCCGGCAAAGATAGGTGCTGCCATGCTTGACGTCTTTAAGCAGCGGGGTCTTTTAAGCTAGTTTCGATGATCACATTTGGGAGACTACAGAACTTTATTTTACAGAATCTAGGAGCCATTGAAAGCCCTTGCATTCGTCTTTCAGATTATTATTGGGGTTATGGCTCTTCTCATCTGCATTGCTTGAGGTGAAGTTCCAATGTTCCTTTTTTTTAATTATTTTTAATTTTCAGCATGCGGTGTTGGATATTTCAATAAAACTCTTTCAACATCAACTTCAAAATTGTACTTACCTTTTGGAGAAAAGCTATTTGATGCCATCCTATGCCAAATAGAAGCAAGTTTGCCAGAACATGGAAAGAGGTCCGCCATTGTAATGTCTTGATAAACCAGTTGTCTAAACTCTAAATTACTTGGATGTGTTTGTGTGTGTGTGTTTTCCTTTTTGACGAAAGCACTTATGCTGGGCCAACGCAAGAACCCCGTTTATGATGATGAGGTTCCGCTGTCTTGATACTTGACCGACCTACTTGCAAACGGTTGCAAGTTGCAACTAGGTTCATTCTTTTCTAACTGAAACAACTCGTGATGAAATATTAAGAAAATTGTTAATTCATGTCATCGCGTAGGCTTTAAAATTTCCATGTCCTTTTAAATGTGCCCGGCCTCATAAATTCAAATTCATATATGGGCCTTGGCGTGGGTCTTTTCTATTTGGGCCTTTATCCATAAACTCAAATTCGTACACGAGCTTTGTTGTTTTATTTTCCTACTTGGGCCTTGCCATTACAAATCTATTAACATGAGAGGCGAGTCCATGTGAAACCACTTTGAAGTCAAATTTAAATTTAAGTTCAAATTTTATATTGGGAAATAAATCCAACCACGGCTCCTCTCATATCCTATGGATAGAAATGTAATCAAGGATGAAAGCCATGAAACAGAATGTTTCATTTAATATAACTTTCTCGAAGGGTAATTTACTAATATTGTTTTTTAACAAAAAGCAATCAAAGCTAATCGAATGAGGCATAGCTCACATCCCATGGATGGAAATTTAATCAATGATAACAAAGAGAATATTTGATGGATGATTATTGTCTTCATAAATGACAATTTGCCAACCTTTTGCCCATAAGATGTAACTAGAGTTAATTAAATGAAAATCTTTAGACAATTAGGCACCTTTTTATAGATGGGAATTAATTCATAATTGAAAAAGAGAATAATTGATAAAAAAAAGTTGTTATCTTCAAGAATGATTGCGACCTTTTACTCTGGAAATAATAAGAATAACAAAATCTTCAATCAAGGGGTGGAGAAGATTAAATCAAGAAAATCTATAAGATGTAACTAGAGCTAATCAAATCTTTTAAACAATTAGGCACTAGTTATGTATCTCCATGAATGGTAACCTTTTGGGAGCATTTCCCTTATCTTCATGAATGGTAATGATTGCAACTTTTTACTCTGGAAATAGAATGAAGAATAACAATGTAGGAACTTATGATGACTTAATTGTGAAGTTGTTGACTTATTTAATATTATCTGTGTTTGGATGATTACGAAACACTAGTTTAATAATGTTTGCTAAGTCTTTCAATCAAGCTAATCTAGTAAGTTTTATTTGCAACTCATGAAAAGCCAGACAAGCTCCTGGTTGAAGCTCAAGCCTTGAAGCCTACCTCATACATGGCATATTTTATTTCACTCAAGGCTAAGAAGATAAAGGAATGAACAAGAATTCAAGCAAGATTGGTTGCACAATTTTAGACTAAGTGGTGAATTCTAGGATTCTTATGTAAGCAGCTCATTCACATTTACTTGGGCTCAATTTAGAAAATGAATCATTTAAAAATAGTTAACCTTAATTCAAAGTGGTTTAAGTTGGTTGAAGTTATCCCATTTGGAGATAAAATGGCTTAGAAATATTTTAAAATTTATTTAGGTAAGCTAAAATATCACAAAATGTGAAAAAATAGCAGTCTACCCTATTAGGGCTCATCCTCGGGTTCATCCTTGAATTTTAATGTGAGACAAGACAGTCCAAAAATGCAGTGTGAGATGTCCCCTTGGTGATCCTTTATTTTATTGGTCTTATTTTGACCACTTTTAAACCATTTAAAAGAGGCCCAAGGTGACATGTTTTGATTGGTTAACTAAACATGACTCTATAGACTCCTTGACTTGGCTACAATGAGGATTTAAGTTGAAATTTTGAAGAAGAAAAGTTTTAATAAAAATAGGAAAATAGATTTTCAAAATTGGAGAAAAAAGAAATAAAAGATTTTGAAAATAGAATTTGAAGCTTTCAGTGAAAAGTGAGAAATCTAAGAACAGAAAAGAAAGAGAACTTTGAACAAAAATAAAGGAGCTTTATTTTGGCAATTATCTTGGAGGGCTTTGATTGAAGAAATTAGAAAGGAAGAATGGTATCTATATCGGTCTAGAGCTTTTATTGGCAATCATTTTTCTAACCTAACTAAACAGAGTTTCTTCTCAATGATCCGTTGACCTGGGTGGTGTTGAACCATCGGCCCATTTGACCCGTTCAACGGTTTTGACCATTTTTATTTTAATTTTTTTGTTAGAACGGGTCATCCATTGGAACTGGATGGTCGAACCATTGACCCGAAAACTGGTGGCCAAAAAGGTTCTAGTTCTGGGTCATTTTTTAAAACATTGGAATTGATATTTGATTAAGAAAGCTTGTACTTAAATTGATATTTGATTGAGAAGCACTTGAGAAATATTGGTTTGCTTTCCAAAGGCTTGTGCAATCATTGATTATTTCCTTAAGAAAGGTTTTAAGTTTTAAAGATTGTTGAGATTAGATTTTTGAAATCTTTGAAAAGTCTCTCAAATAAACATTTGGAAAATCATTTGAGAAATCTTTCTTGACCTTTATTGTAAAATTCTTGAAAAGCTTTCATTCATTTCTTTAAAAGGGCTTGTACTTTTTGAGAAAAGGTCAGACCTTGATAAAGATTCAAATATTATTCTAAGAATTACTCGAGAAAGGTTGCATTCTTTCTCTCCAAAGACTAGAACTTGTATTAGTATATTCCCTTGAAAAGGGTTTTTGGTCTTTAAAAAAGTTATTTCAGCTTTAGCGTAACTTGAGTAAACCTTTGAATAAGAATTTAAAGAAACTATTAGCTAAGAGAAAGCTTTCAGGTTCTCTCAAAATCCCTTTTGTTTTCCCAACATGTTCGACTTTGAGAATATACATTTACAATATGATAGCATTGATATGGGTGCTAGTGCTTCTATTATTGATGTTGTTGAGGCTAAGCCTAATACTGCTACTAGGAAAGAAAAAATCAGTCAAGTTTGAGAAATGTTTACCATAAAAACCTTTGAGGGAAAGGGAAAAAAATGTTTTCATAAGATGTAAGGTTGAAAGTACCGGAAACGGAAGGTGTATTGGAAAGGTAATTTTAAGAGACATATTGAGATACACTTTGGAAACATATAGATACGGACGAAAAATCAAGATACGCATGGATACACTAGAAAATCCAAAAAAAAATCCTTAAAAATATGAACAATAATAAAAATGAGTTTTATGTGAGTATAACTAATTTATTTAAACATAAAACCATTCTTTAATGATTTATATAAAGTATTGGGATATAATTAGTAACCATTTAAAAACAATAGAACTAAAATGTGTGTGTATATACACTAATATTTATTAGTTAATATTTTTTTTGAAATTATTTATTAGTTAATATTTATTATATATAGATTTAGATAATATTTATTATGTATACAAGTTAATATATACCTTAATTTTTAATAAATAAATATAACTCGTATTCATCTTATTATTATATAAATATTAATAATCAAATTTATAGCATTTGTTGGGTAACTTCCACCAAAGCAATAAGGATTACTTTAAGTATAAAAAATATGTCATTTTAATAAGTAATTAAGGTTGGTATAACGATTAATTAATTATTGTTATAAGCAAATGACTTGGGTTTGAAACTTGTTAACTTTGGTTTGTGATTTTTAACAAGTTATTTCACTTAAATAACATTTAATGACATATTAAATGTTGTAACTAAAGGTAGCTTAAATGAGCATTTAATTAAATTATATTAGCATTTAGTGACATCTCAAACTTTAAGACTTAATTAAAATTGATATTAATGAGAAAGAGAAGAGATAAATTAAATTTAAATTTAAAAAGAAGAGGGAAATTAAATTCGGCTGATACATAATGCGTACCGGCCTGTTTCGAGTATGTATCGGCGCGTTTCGAATTGTATTGGCTGATACATACTGGAAATGGTTTGATACAAGGCCGATACGGATGAAAAAATATGAAACCATGTAATTATACATGTTCCGTGTATCTGAACTCTTCCAAAACGATACGTATCGACCCGTATTGGCCGATACATTGCAAAATTTAAAACCTTGGTAGCAAGAGGGGTATTGGCTATTTGGCTAGACATATGGTTATTCATTAAAAAATAAAAATGATAAAATTCAAACACAAATTGGGTATGGGTTTTTGATAATTTTTAATATTTTTAAGAAAAATAAGACAAGAATTAACTAAATATATTGTATATGCTAAACAATCATTTTTATTAGCTGTAGACCCTATGCTAGAAAGATTTTTATAACAATTAATAAATCCTCAATTTAAAAAGGTTTCTAGAAATACAATTAGATCAAATGATTTATAATTTATTATTTATATAAACAAAATTTAATTTCTGTTTTGTCAACTCTTAATTCTAAAATTCCACTTACACCTGATATTTGAACTTTAAAATATAATATTAGTTATATTTGTGTTATGAGACATTTTATTGATGAAAATTGGTTTCTGCAAAAAAAAAAAAGAATTTTAAATTTTACAAGACTTGAATCAACAAGATTCAAAGGTTCTTCAAAGTTCATCAATAGGGACACCATGAAATTCCTGTCCAAAAAGCTCTTAAAAAAATGTTGTAATTTGGATGTGTCTGCCTGAGAGCTTCTACTTTTGCCAATGTGGAGAGCAAGCTAGGATCAACTAGAGGTGTTTTGATGATTGGGAATGTTGACAATTGTTGAGAAGATTGCTAAAATGATATGGTTTCTAAAGTGAAAATTGTCTGGAAATCATATAAGCAACGTTTGGTAAAAACATGGAGAGCCTAAAATTGGCCATTGTGTAGCCGTTCAAAGGTTCTTCAAAGTAGCTTAGCTGAAGTGCAATATGCTTCATCAAGACTATCTATTTTCATATGAAAATCTGTGTATGGCCATTTAAACCATTTGTTATATTATGCCTTGTATAAAAACAGGCCTTACTAATGATCATATATAGAGAAAGCTTCTTCCTCTTAAAGATACAACAGTAAAGCATGCTTGCCTTCTGATGAGTTGCTTCTACATGGTATGTAATTGATTCATGTTACGGGCTTCCAATTTAATGGGAACACAAGGTTTTAAGTGGATTTTGTCATAGAATAGATTTCCTATTCCCAATCTTGATTCTATCTTATGATCAATTGTAATTTGAATATTAGGAAATCTTATTATGTTTATTTAATTCTATTCTCCAAATTTATTTAAATTTTCGATATTATGATAGAGATAACATGAAATTATGAACTAATATTATTGTCATCATCAGGGAACTGGTTCTTAAGCATTTTAGCTGCCATCTCGATTTGCTTTTCTTTAGTTGATTAGGAAGACCTTAAATGATTCCCTTTGCATTGTAACCAAATTTTTGAACTGGAGGAAGCCCATTCTCTTCGAGATATTCCAAGGTCTCTCAAGTTTATCTGGAGTTTTAAATCCCATTACATGTGCAGCTATTATCATCTCTATTTGTGTATGTATCTAAAACATTTGCTGATGTATTTGGCTCGAAATATGATGTTGTGGCCAATGTTGCATTTGAGGCTAATTGAACTTTATTTTTATTCCACATTTTAAAAAGGCAAGTATTAATGTATTATATTTAAGATTATTTATATTACCTTACCTGTATATTTTAGAAAATGAGGAAAGTGAGAAATATAGCTTTTATTCACCTTTACAAAAATATGGAAAATATTGAGGTTAATATTTTAAATCAACTCATAAAAGCTTATCCAAAACACTCAAAGCAACTGAACCAGCTTAACCAAATGTTCAGCTCAGCTCCCCCAAACAGGGCCTAACTGCAAACATATGCCATGTTTGGCTTGGATAGATTATCTGTATCATTTGATCATATTTAGAAAGAGCAAAAAAAATTGTGTTCTACGATTGTAAACAATCCTATCTATTTTCTTTTTCTATCTTGTATTTTCTCTTTCCATGCATCACACGGGTTTGTCGCTAGTAAATCATTAAGCCAAAACATTGTAATGAATGCTTACCCATCCTACTATGACATGTCTTGGTCTGTACAAAAAACGGATATAATATACACAATAATAAAAATACTTATGTTGCCATGGAACGAAAAATTCTAGCACTGTTCATAACAAATGGAATACACAATAATCAGGCTCATAAAAGCCACGAGTTACTGGTCATTTCCAACACCAAGAATAGACTGTGCAAGATGCGTCAAGTATGGTTCTACTTGGGAACTGTTGCTCAAGATTGGTCCGAGACTCAGGAGCTCGAACTTGAATTCCTTCTCAAATTTCCTGTAATCCATATATGTAGATGTATAAGCTCAAAAAAGAGAATCTAAAAAATGACATTCTAACTATGAAAGAGGGTGCGTAAATGTGCAGTTCATTTGATTATTTACACAGATGGTTTTATCAAACTCACAGAACAGAATCAGTCACAGTTGTTGCATTTTGAGCCGTTAATCTTAGTGCCTGGGATTTACTCCTGGGTCTCCATTGTTTTGATTTCTCCAATCCAATAGAACCTTCGCATAGTACATCTGACTTATGAATGTTGATGGATGATGAGACCAACCATTGACTTGCTGCCGCATATTGAAGGCATATTGACTTCAGCTTCTCCACCTTCTGCAAATAGACAACTTTGATATGAGAACTAACCATGGCAAGGAAATCAATGTGAAACATGGTACCAACTCAAGAATAAATAAACATAACTCCTGAGACTAGGAGTCCATATTTCAAATTTTATGGTGCGTTTGATCAAAATTTTGAGTTCAGAATTGATGGCAGCAGTTCCACTAAAAAGTAAAAAGTACTATGTAGAGAAGAACTTAGAAACTGGGTGGCAACTTTTTCTATCTGCCAGCCCCAACATTATCATTTATATGAAATGATTACTCTAACAAGTACATTACAGCCCAAAAACCCATATAACTTGGGTCTCACAACACCAAGGTAAAATAGAAAATAAAGAAAAAGAATAGGAGGGAGATAAATAGAAATTATTGTTTAAGGAAAACAGAATAGGGCTATCAGCCATATTTCTTTATTTATATCATGATGTCTGGAAAAAAAATCCACTAGGGGCAATGTAGTAATATCAACATAACTAAGATGTTTTGGCATAGAACCATCCCTGTGTTTTTACCAATTGCATAATTGATCCTTCGTTCAAAATCAATGATATTAGGACCTATTGCTTACCTTCACAAGTTCGGGCAAAAGAAGCAGGCATTCTTTCAGACACTTGTCAAGGAAAAAATCATGGTATTGAATAACCTGTTAGGAGAACTATTATTAAACATTCATAAAGAAAAAAGAAACATACATTACAATGTAAGAATGAAGTGTTTATTTTATACACAACACATGTATTTTGAAAAAAAAAAAAGACACGTTGACATTCAGATGAAATTCCAAGGAGAAAAATAAGTTTAATAAGAGAATAAGGAGTAGACCTCATCTATGCTTTTTGCTGTTTGAAGTCTATCATGCATTGCGTGCCAATTAGGTTCCAGAACCTGATAACAAGAGATACCCATGTAATGTTGTGAAAGCTAGCAAGCCTAGCATACCACATATGTTTCTTCAGAATTCTTAAAGAATTAAGATGAGTAGTTGGGTGAGTTAAATCAGTGATAAAAGCAATATATTCCAAATTCATGTAGTACCAAGATGAGCATTGGTGTCCATTTAAGAAGTAATAAAAGGATCATAGGACCATTACCCAATGTTGATCCCAGTTATCAGAGGTCTTCAGCATTTTCTTTTACGAAGTGGTTGTCTCAGACTCAAACCACCATTCTCATACTTGTCATCCCAAAATTTTACCATTTCACAAAGTGATAAATGCATTGATTAAAAACAAAGGGACAAAAGCAGTCATACTCATAAGGAGATCAAACAATGACAAGTCAAGCATCCACACATAGGATCATATGCAAGAAATCAAACTAGAAGATGCCATTGCTTCCTTGATTGCTGTGGTTAAGCAGAAAGGTTAACTCAATCATGAACGGGATTTTCCAGAACACTTCAAATACTCTCTTAAAATTTCCAAAACACTTTGATTAGATAAACTGATTTAGACCTATAATTGTTAAAATTTTGAAATTGCTTGAAAAATGGAAAAGAAAATTCCTGAAATATAGTCAAGTGTAAGATAATGAAGGCAAAGGAAAAGAATAACACCTACCTCAAATGTTAGATAATGTAAGAGGCTAGTAATAAATTTGAGCATTCTGCGACAGAGAATTGATGATCTTGAGATGACAGTTCCTTGCATGTTAAGTGCACGAACTCCCTAAGGATACGTAATATAATTACTAAATGAGAAAAGAAAGAAAAATATACTACTTTACCAGAGCAATTGCAACAGATGCCAGTGTCTTACTTGGTGTACTTGCCATGCCGCACAAAGCTGACGGTGAACATGTTTACAGTGAAACAGGAAGCAAAAAATCAACTGATACTTTGTTAAGGCTTTTCTTGAAATTACGAGGGACAATGGCCATTGAACCTGGCCCATGAAACCAAATATTCAGATCAATAGAAGTGGGTTACCATGAGAAAATAGAATGATATGTGGTAATCATATGAGATTATGACAATGAGACAACAGATGTAGACAAATGGCACTCCAGGATGGCTTTGCAGGAGTCAATGCAATCATTCAAGGAATCCTCCTAGGAGATCAATCAAGGTGCATAAAATTTTGAAATGATAAATAACCAAGCCACTTCACCTCCTCATCATCATCCAAGCCTTATCCCAACTATATTGGGTCAGCTACATGAATCCTGTTTCACCATTCCATTCTGTTTAATGCCATATCCATTGTTAAATTATTGGGACTTAAATCATTTCTTACTACTTCTACCCATGTCATTTTTGGTCTTCCCCTAGCCCTTCTAGCCCCTTCAACTTGCAATAAATCACTTCTTACAGGTGCTGTTGATGGTCTTCTATGCACATGACCAAACCATCTTAGTCTACTTACTCTCATTTCACCTATTAATTACTTACAATTGTAAACAGCATTACCTGAAACACAAGCACCACAATGCAGGCCGACTATCCTTAACACACTAATCAACAATTGAAGGTTCTCCATAAAAAGGGCACAAATACACCAATGAAGTACCAACTGACCTTGTAACTCAAGGAAAATGTTTCCAAGCCAGTAATGCTTACTGGTTCCTCAGTATCATTACTATCAGAAACAGGCCTACTAATTTTGAGATCTTTGAGTGTGCCCAACCTTTTGAGCAATGATGATCTTTCCTGTAACCACATACAAATATATCAAATGAGGACAGGTAAAGGAAACAAAACTATCCCATTTTAGGTCAAACAAAAGAAGGAAAATAAAATACTAAATCGCTTACCACACAGCAGGTCAAGTCCTCATGACAAGGATCAGCTGCAGCAGCCGTGGTTCGCAAAGCAAGATCCAGGAGAGACTACTTTGTCAGAGAAACATCATGCACAAAGAAATATAGGTTTCCCTTGGATTTAATATAAGTCCCAAAATAAAAGATTTCTTTTAAAAATCCATCATGAGAAAGAAAAGTGGTCCAACCTGCAGTTTCTCCACAGAAATCTCATCAACCCTTTTCACAAGCTCATCCCGAGCTATGTCCATAAAATGAACCAAAAAGTCACCCTGTGAGATGGTGGACAGCTCGTTCAAAGACATTTATAGAAACAAGTTTGTGAAGTGACAAGATGAAAGGAAATTAGGGGCAGCGTTGCATATCCATATCAAGCATGCATTTTCCAAGTTCCCAACAAGTTTGTGATAATGGATACTTTTGTATGCAATTCGAAATTGAAAAGTATAACATTATAAATTATAATGTTATAAATGCACCTCACTTGTATAAAAACTATTGAAATTGGCATATTATCCAAGAAAAACTATTGTACACCCTGACAACACTTGATCTAAAAAGTTATTACATTTAAAAATACAGTTTTCAGTTTCACAATGTATTGGTGCCCTGTATGATATTTTCAGGATCATTAGCTGTGGCGATTTGATCTGAAAGACATTTTCAGAGAAGACAAAGTTATCTCACAAAGATTAGTAGAGTTTGGCTGAGCTATACTGATTTCTCCTCTCCATATTTTCTGTCACTCCTAGTTTTCTTCTGTTTGGGTTCTGCAAGAGATGTTGGTGACATCAATTTACTTAACATGTCTACCAGTGAAGGATGACTGACATTATGTTAGTTGGTAGGATTACAATGAATTCATGGCTGTTCATTCAAGATTCAACTGCACTCTTACAATTGTTCTTGGCAAGTTGGGATAGCAGTCATATGGGAATTGGTGATAGTTCTAATATTCAAATAATGACAATGAAGCTGGGTGGAAACACTTTACTGGACTATTTGCAGACAAAAAGCTGTCTGTCAGTGATCAAGGTAAATTAGGGTACCTCACCGAGGAGGTAAAGCCCCACACTAGTGACCACTCTTAAAATTAAATTGGGGTACCTCAACTAACTAATTCTTGAAGGATGAGTAAAGCCCAAGCTAATGAACAGGAAAAGGCTGATGTGTTCCTTTGTACTAGTTTTGAGTCCCCCCCCCCGTCTATCCCAGATATGAAGTTGAAGGCAGAAGTGAGGCTGCAAGAATTGTAGACGAAGACAGAGGAAGGGGAATTTGGTAACTGATAGAGGAGTTGTTTGAATATTTAAAAAAGAAAAAGTTGGAGAAAGAGGGGAGTCTTGAAGATAGTAAAGATGACAGAATTTCAAATGAAAATAAGGAGTGGAAGGTAATGCTAATTATAGTCTAAGAAGAGATAGCTCCTGAGTGCTGAATGGAGGAAGAAAACCCTGTAGAAGGGTCCTTGACTAGGATCGTTGAAAAACTTGGGTGCAAAATTAAGAATCCAAGAGATCTGAAGATGTTTATTAGGAAGGAGGAATGCAAGGCTAGGAAAAAGAAACGGAGTGAAGTTGAAAGATTGAAATTGGACATTGAGGGGGGATAAGCATGCCAACAAGAAAAAGGGTAGGAGAAGAGGGAACAACTGGGGGGGGGGGGGAAGTAAGGGGTTTTAGATTTATAGGTGGACATGAAGGTCGCCGATTAGAACGTTTGAGGTTTGAGAAATGGTAGAAAGAGGTCTACAATTAAGGAGGTGTTGAGAAAAGAGGATCCAGATGTGGGGATTATCCAGGAATCGAAATCGGCAGAATTTGATAACAGATGGGCTAGGAATGTGTGGAGGGCTCGGGGAATTATGTGGTCATAATTCCTTCTTGGGGAGCTTCTCGAGGTGTTGTAACAATGTGGAAAGAGGAGTTTGCAAAGGGAGTTGAAGAACTTGTGGGTAAATTTATTGTATCTCTTAAGTTCAAGCAAGTGACTGATGGTTTTGAATGGATGTTGACAAATTTTTGTGGCCCCAATGGGTATAGGGAGAGAAATAAGATGTGATAACTGGGAAGAACTAGCGGATATCAAAAGGCTTTGGGATGGGCCATGGTGTATAGGGGGGATTTCAATGTGATCAGTTGATCACATTTAATGTGACAAATATGGTCAGGCAAAGAATTATCACTAGTATGAGGAGATTCAATGAGTTTATCAATAATTTCAAATTGAAGGAGCTACCTCTTCTGAATAATATCTTCACATGGTCCAACCTGAAGGTTAACCCAATCTGTTCCAAACTAGATAGACTCTTATTCTCTATGGATTGGGAAGAACGTTATGGTAATTTAATTTGTAGGGATTTACTAAGAGTAACTTCTGATCACTCGCCAATTTCCATTTGCTAGGATGATTTAGGAGGTAGGCGTCCAACCCCATTTAGATTTGAGAACATGTGGTTGGGTCACCATGGATTTAAAGAAAAAGTGAGTGAGTGGTGGGAAGAAAGCAAACCAAGGGTGAATTGGGAGGGGATGAATTTTATAGGAAGCTGAAAAACTTGAAAGCCAAAATTAGATTGGAAGAAAGAAAACATAAAATGATTGATAAAATTGAAGAATTGGATGGTAAAGAAGCTTATGGCACTTTGAGGAAAGAAATAAGATAGAGAGATGGGAGCTTAAGAAGCAACTGGAGGGCATCCTTTTTAAAGAAGAATTAGCTAGAGATAGAAATCCAGACATAAATGGGTGAAGGAAGGAAATATAAACACTAAAATTTTCCATGCCTTGGCTAATGGCAAAAGGAGGAAAAATTATATACCCAACTTAGTGTTGGATAGGGATTTTGTTGATCACTCCAAATCTATTTTTAAAAGGTCCCTAAATGAGAGAGTCTAGATTGAAATCATATTGGCCTACTTTGTCTGAAGATCACAATGCTTGGTTAGAAGAATTGAGTTGGAGAAAATTAAAGAAGCAATTTTCTCAATTGATAGATCTAAAGCACCAGGTATGTTTGGGTTAACAATGGCCTTTTACCAAAATTGTTGGGAGTTTCTAAAAATTGATATTCAAAGAGTATTTAATGAGTTTTTTAGGAGAGGGTGATAAACACAGGGTTGAACTCCACCTTTATTGCTTTAGTCCCTAAGAAATCTAGGGCAAACCATCCAATAGAGTTTAGACCCATTGGTGCTTCCATCAATCATTTCTCTTAACCAAGGGGCTTTTGTGTAGAATGGGCAAATGATTGATCAAATTTAATTGCTAATGAATGAGTTGAGGAGCTAAAAAGAACTGGAAAAAAGGGCATTGTCTGCAAGCTTGATCTAGAAAAAGCCTATGACTTGATTGATTGGTCCTCTTAGATGAGGTGTTAAGAAGTTTTTGGTTTGGAGTAAGGTTGTTTAAAGACTTATCACTACTCTATCTTGGTGAACGACACTATTATGGATCACTTACCTGCTATTAGGGAAATTAGGCAAGGGGATCCTCTTTCTCCCTTTCTTTTTACCTAATTGCAAAGGTTCTTGGGAAACTAATTACTAGAGCAAACTCTAGAAACCTTGTGAAGGGTTGGAAAGTTGGTAGGATATGGTGTCGGTTACTCATCTACAATTTGTTGATAATACTATTCTTTTCTGTAAGGGAGATGATTTAAGGAAGGTTAGGAGTCTAAAGTTGGTGGTTCAAATATTTGAGAAAAGGACAAACTTAAAGATCAATTTCAACAAGAATCGTGTGGTGGGGGTGAATATGGTTGAGAGGAAAATGTTTGAATGTGAAAAGATTTTGGGGTGTGAGATCTCCATTGGCCATTGAAATACTTAGGGTTACCATTGGGAGCTAACCCAAGTAGTAGCTTTTGGAGTCTGGTGCTTGAGAGATTCACTAAAAGTTTAGCATCTTGGAAGAAAAACTACCTCTCTGTGTGGTAAAATAACATTTGCAAAGGCTACATTGGCTAATTTGTCGGTGTACTTCCTTTCTGTTTTTAGAATCCCAAAAGAGGTGAGTAGAAGGATTGAAAAATGATATGGGACTTCTTGTGGGAGCCAGGGGAGGAGTAGAGGGACCATAGAGTAAGATGGGAGGTGGTAAGTAGAAGCAAAAAGTATGGGGGAATAGGGATAGGTAACATTCAAAAGAGGAATGCAGCATTGGTGGGCAAATGGCCTTGGAGGCTTCCAATAGACAAAGATCAATTATGGATCAATGTGATTTTGAGCATTCATGGGCTGCGGCTAATGGTTGGGATGTGGGAGTATTGGCTAGGGCTACAAGAACTTCTTCACCTTGGAAATCCATACACGACATTCTTTCGTTTTTCCTTTCCTTTATCAGGTATAATCTTTTCTCTAGAAATTGTGTAAAATTTTGGGAACGCACTTGGATGAGAATCTTGGCTTTGAAACAACAATACCCTTCTTTGTATTTCTATATCAAACCGTAAAGATGAACCGGTGTCTAATTTCTAGGTCCCTTCTAACTCAAGATCTGGTTTTGATTAGGACTTGGGTATAAGAAGGGGGGTTAAAGAATGTGAATTCATTGATGTTTTGGCTTTATTACAAACTTTGGAAGGGGTGTTCTTGGATCAGTCTAGAATGGATAGTCATCTTTGGACCTTGTCTCCCTTGGGTTCCTTTTCTTGTGCTGCTTTCTTTAAGCTTGTCCAGCCATCTATGGGCAACCTTTTCCTATTAAAGAAATTTGGGGTAAATCTATCCCTCCTAGGATTACTGCTTTTTGCTAGGAAACCTTGCTATTACTCATTAATCACCTACCCCTTTGTTCTGTCTATTTGGGTTTGGTTTCTCTCTCTGATTATAGGTGGACTTCTCCGCCAAATACACAAAGCTTGTTTACTTCCTTTTCTGTATGTTGGACTATATGGGAAGAAAAGAATTTGAGAATTTTCTTGGAAAAAGTGAGAAGCAAGGAAGCTTTAATTGAAAAAGTGAGAAGCAAGGAAGCTTTAATTGAAGTTATTACTATCAGAGTGGTACAGTAGGTGAAATCTCTAGAAATCTTTGAGGATATTTCTACAGATGCTCTACTTAGCAATTGGAAGGAATGTCTGACTCAGCCCCCTCTATGGCTCAAATCAGATCCATTGGGGACCAGCTGCATGTCTTATAAGCTAAATTTTGACGGGAGTAGTTAAGGGAAACTAGGCCCTTCAGGTATTGGAGGTCAATGTTTTAAAACATGAAGGCGTGACACAAGGCGTCGCCGCGTTCCACTACCTAGAGGCGTGAGGTGTAGGTCAGAACGTAAGAGGCATAAGCCTCCCGAACACAAGGAAGCATAAGCCTCCCGAACACAAGGAGGCATAAGCCTCCTTAAGAGGAGGGGGATCAAGAAGAAGGAGGAGGAGGAAGGGGGGATCTCATTTTTTCTTTATTTAGAAATCTTTTATACTAAGAAGAACAAAGATGCATGGCACTAGTTTCTTTCCCCTTATCCTTTCTTCCCTTCCCTTTTGTTTTCACTTTTTTCTTCTCTTTCTTTCTTTTCTTTCCCTTCCCTTTCTTTTCTTTTCCTTTCCTTTCCTTTCTTTTTTTTCTTTTTTCTTTTTTTTTCTGTCTTTTTATATGAGGTGTGCATTGAGGCGCATGAGGAGGTGTACGCCTCTAGCACCTGAGGCGTACACCTCAGAGGTGTCAGAGCCTCTGGCATATGCCTCGAGGCGTTCTTGGAGCACCTTGCCTGGAGGCGCACCTCCAGGCATACACCTCCCACGCCTTTTAAAACACTGTTGGAGGTGTTTTCAGAAATGAAGAAGGAAAAGTTGTTGCATTCTTCTCAGGACCAATTGGCACAAGCAACTCTCTTAGGGATGAGATCATGGCTGTTGTGGAAGGAGCACAAAGGGCGAAAGAACTTAATATCAGTAGACTAATTGTTGAAGGTGATTCTGGTTTGGTGATTAATTGGCTGCAAAAAGAGGAACCTAGATTCTAGCTTATGTGAATGAGCAAAGGATGTTCAATCTGCAAACTCAGAATATGGGAGATTTTAGTGGGTGAAGAGAAGTGCTAACTCCTTTGCTGATGTACTTAATATTGTTAAAATCTTACGATTTATGATTTGAATCATGAATCCCAAGGGTTTTGATTCAAATCTTACGTTCGAATCCTTTTCTGCAAAATTCTTACAATTTATACACTTCATTGTGATTCAAATCAATTCAATTAAGAATTAGTTCTCTACTCTCATTTTGTTTTGATTATATTTATTTTTGTCAATGGTGACTTGTTTTAAAGACATTACTAGAAATTGATTTATTTATGTTATTTAAGTCCATAATTTGAGTTTACTTTCTATCATATGTTGAATAAAGACTCATTGTATGTGGATTATTTGAGTTTCAAGTTAGACTTGATTATATCATCTTAGACTTCTATCGTATATGTGGAAAAATTCTACTGTTTTAGGTATATATATGGTAGACATAACTTAAAAAAAGGGTAGAACACTATTCTATATGTATTTAGCCTTTTAGCTTATGTATATTTATTTTTTTGACAAATTTGTAAAAAATAGAAATGATCTTACGATTTACAATTCCTATGAGACTGATAATCAGAGACATACCTGATCAAGAAGAAAATAATGTTTTATAGACCGCAGTTTTCCTATGAGATCATACTGCATCAGGAAAAACAAGAAAAAAATGTATAGCATAAATATTTGATACTTATAACACTTGCTAGAAAAGGCAATTATTTTAGCAAAGTAAATAATTGCAACGAATATCTTTTTTATCTATCAGAGAAAAAAAAAAGAATTGCGAATGAATATGCCCATCAAACTACCATGCAATAGAAAGTGCATCTCACCTTCTCTTTTATGAGATTCAAGAGCTCACCACTGGCAAAATCATAGGCAGATTTTATGCACTCAAGGTAGTGATGGTTTGATCCAAAGCTCACAAACTTTGAATTTTCAGATGCAGGAACCTACCAATGACAAACTTATCATTGCCTTACACAAAAAAAACAGGATGAACATTGAAGAAAGGTGTGTCAAAGAAATTTTAGTACAAAATATAAAGTAAGAACCTGAACATTGTGCCCACATTCTCTCATGACATTTAAATATTTTCCTGTGGTCAATATTGTGCCTGAAACATTTGTAAGGAAGCTAGGAATACCATCCTTGAGGCTATAACGTTGTTGCCAATATTTAGCATCATAATCTTGAGTGAGACTTTCCTGCCAAAAATGCCATCATCATTATCTTGAGTGACTTTCCTGTCAAAATGTAAAGCAAATAAAAATACAAGCCCACAGTGCACGCCATCCTTATTGTATGGAAAAATACTTTTACCTTTTTGAGCAATTTGTTCTCAGCAATGAAAAATTCTCCATAAGGATCATCAATCACCCCTTCATAGACCCACCTAAATATTGATTTAAACGAGTAAAGTAAAATTTATTAAGTGTTGCTTAAACTATCATAAGCATCAAACCAATAACACAGAACTAGACTATGGATCAAAAAGAAAATAACACAAAACTAAGGTAGGCAAAAGTCAGTCTAGATTGGTAAATCCACAGCACCTAATTCCAGCACAGATTCAAACCACATTGAAACTTGGGATTGGGTTGGTATGGGAAGTACAAACCAAAACGAAATCAGATAATTAGCCAATATGAAACTATAAAATACATAAATTGATGTGGCAGCTCAAAATTTTCCATTATTTGTATTTTGTCAAAACTGTATAAAATTATAAATATAATATATCTGGATTAAGAATCTACTAATGATAAGCATGAAGCACTAAAAAAGGCATATTTTTTTAGTGCAAGAAAAAGGCATACTTTCTACTAGTGTTGTATCTCCATACCTTTGTGGGTTGAAATCCAACCGGTTGTAATTGTACTACTCCCAATCATATCAGGTGTGTTTAAACTATACATATCCCTCTAAACAATCTTATGATGAATAAAATTGAATTGTTTCATGAAATTCTATGGTTTGGCATTGACTCTTTCTTCTCTAGGTGTTCACTATTAAAGAAAACTAATGGTGCTAATTTCATTAGTCTAATCATTATGATAGGTACTTTTATTTCCTTACTGCATGTCACTTGTTGAATATGTGCTACTAGTCTCAATTTATGCTTCCTTTTCTTAGCAAGGTTTAAAATATCAATATTGTTAAAAATCTCAGTCATCCAACCATAGGAAACATGTAAGATATGTTGATAATGTCATATGGTATATCTTAAAAGTTATAGAACGGTGGAGACATTGTAAACTACGAAAAAAATATACAATGATATTTTCTTAAATGATGAAAGAAACATAGACACACCCTTTTCTATTATTATCTTGTTCCAAATCATTAAAGTGAAGTGGCTGGTAGTGAGAACAGCACACCTCATCCAATATGGCCAGTAGTGCGAGCAAATAAGTTAAACTACACTGAACTCCTTAAATCCCAGGGAATAGTGAGGCGGAATTAAACTGGGTCAAAACAAATGAGTTGGATTAGGAGCAACCATTTCTTTCCTCGAATCAAAATGGTAGAAACCCCAGTCTTCTGCGCGTTAACTATGTAGTTCTCAAAGGGGGAGGCAAAGATTAAAGAAAGTGAGTTTAAGTTCTAATTGGACCCAGGTTTTGATTGGATCAAATGGGATTAATTCACATCCAATCGGATTATTAATTTAATTCAAGTTCTAATATCCAAATCCGGAATAATTGGATTTGGTGAAGAATTGGGTGTTGGGCTTTTGGAGTCCATTGACATCCCTACCCAAGAACAAAGACTAGCTTTGAGAAATAATAAATATTACCTTCAGCCCGACATACTACTTAAAAGCATAAAGACCAAACCCCACTCGAAACCCCAACTTCAGAAGCATTAGAGCATTGATCATCACCTTAAATTCCATTAGTTAAACTCTATCACTTATCTCGTTCAAACATTTGAACAATAACCTCTTTACTTTTCTTAATAATTATCTTGGTTGTCTTCACCTCCTCATAGGGCCAATCCCAAATAAATCTCCTCTTAATCTTGCAAAAACTTTTGACACCTAAATCGGTGTTTCTTCTGATTCCTAAAGCAACTCACAGCATTAAAATTCTGTCTAAAAACTTTCTGGTCCTTAGATCTCTCAACTATCCTTTCTAATTCCACAACTGCATTCTTCTCAAATGCATGAGCTGCAACTGAATCTCCATCCTCTTTTCAACTTCCCCTGGAAATCCAGTTGACCTCATTCTAATTTGTGCATCTTCAACCCTATGATTAACACCTTTCTCTCCCAACTCCATTTTCTCATTCTCACGATCTTTTTCCTCCTACTTCTTGAACAACTTCCTTGCCTTGCCTTTGTTTTTTTTTTTTTTTCTACACTTTGTTTGGGACCCCAGAATTACTCAGCGACCCCCTTTTAGTACCAAATGAACAATTTCTCTTCAATGTAATGCAAACTAAAATTTCACCTCCAAAGTTATGAACCTCATTCAAGAGTTTGCTGAAAGCATGATTCAATAACACAGTACATGAAACTAACATCTTCATTGATCTCACACTAATGTGAGGATAGCACATTAGGGAGTAACCATGAATTCCATTTTAAGAAGATGGGCTCCTGTGGCAGGTTATGGACCAAGAAGGCATAATGCAGCAATGACTTTGGCTGAAACATAGAGGGAAGAGGAAAGCTAAATTTTGATGGTTGCAACCTAGGTAAACCAGGCCCTTGGAAATTGCTATAGTAAGAAATCAGGTCAGAGGTACAATATTGAGCTGAGTGGTCCTGTGGACAAGATCAAATCTTTGAGAGCAGAAATTATGGCTCCTGTACAAGGCTCAAACTAGGCATTTGATGGGACTCACAGATCTAATGGTAAAGGGGACTGTCAAGTTGTAACAGGGTAGGTTGTTTCCAACTAGAGAGGAGGGACCTCAGACCCTAAGTAAAAGAAACACCAGTGCTGGCAACCTAAATGAACTGACTATTTAATTCAGTCCCTCATAGTGCCAAATTGCCAATAGCACAACCAATTCTCCACTGAGGAAGGTATATTTAGATGAGTTAAGTTAGGGTTTACCAGGCCCACATAGATTTTATTGAATGCAAACAGTATAATGGTTGGCTATCAGAATGTTGTATCAGCATCCATCTTTCTCTTGTTAGATGCAATCATATTTTTTTCCATCTAAAAATAAAATAAAAAAATTACAGATAAAAAAACATCACAAATAGACCATCACAAAAATTACCTTTCTAATATGCCAAGATATGCAGAACTTGCACATTGTGTCATTTTCTCCAATAAGGACCTAACCGTGTGATCACCAGCCATGGCCTTGGCCTAAAATTAGCAGGGGTAACAATGATAACACAAGGCACAAGAATTAAGCATTTCAAGTAGGGAAAAGGATAGGACATTCACCATCACAAAAGTAGTAATTACTGGAAGCTTTTCTAATTCAGCCATTGGAATTATTGATGCAAAATGCTTTACCTGACTCTGCAACAGGTTAAGAACTGCAGAACCCATGAGATTATCAGCAGAAGCCTTCTGTACCACAGTTGCCAACGCTTGCATTGATCCCATCATTGGCTGGAAATAATGACTTGAAGTAGTTGAGTGGACACCAAGGAAATCATTTACTAAGAAAAAATTTTAAGACCAGTCAAAACCTGACAGAAAAACCATAGCCCTTGCATAGAAAGCCTCCCAAGTCGGAATTGGTGTTCAAGCTGTGCCACCATAGCCTGGTAATCCTAATAAGTTAGAAGTTCTCAAAAGTCAGATTAAGTGTATGGAGGAATTTTCATTTAGACTAAGCGCAGTTAAGTACATATCATATTTTAAGTTGAAGCCAAATCTGAAACCTTAACAAAGAATTTACATTGGAAGGAGTCTAAGTCATTACAAGGATTTGCATCATAAAAAGCCACAATCTTAGCACAGAGACAGTTATGAACCATAGTGCTCAGAAGATCAACTCGGTCTGAGAAGTTTAATTGCAGGGTTCAAAGAGTGCTTAGTAAGGAGCCAAAGTGATTACACACTATTTGTGAAAAGGACTGATAAGTCCACCACTATCCCCATTATTCATGTTGATGATATTGTTGCCACGAGAAAATGGGTGGCAACTCCCTTCAGAGCTGGCCATGCAAGCTTCCCAGAGCTCACAACAAGCCATGACATTACAATGTAGTACTTTTGGACCTATCTGGCATGTAGTGGATCTGTAGGGGCTGGCTTTGTTGTATCAATAAGGTTTTCATCGAAGGAGGGAACATTCTAGATAGGGTGTTAATTGCAAATGAGTTGATAGACTTGCAACTAAAGAGTGGGAGAAGAGTTCTTTGTAAGGTGGATATGGAGAAGACCATTAACCACATTAGTTGAAATTTTATTGATTACATCCTTAAGAGGATGATTTTTGGCACTCTTGGGCAGAATTAGAAGAAGATATGCACTAATATTCGATTTTACAGAATGGTGTAGCAAATGGTCACTTCCACAGCCCTTGCCCCTTGGGGACAAAGACAGGGGGACCCTTTCTCACCATTTCTATACATTTGTGTCATGGAGTCCCTCAACAAAGGATGTTGTAGCTGGATGAAAGGATACATTAGCTCTTGCCATTACTCAATTTTGATAAACAGAGTTGTAAGAGATTTTCTCCCAACTAAAATAAATGAATCAAGGAAGGTGACAGAAACACTAATTTTTTTCATGCAATGGCAAATGGTGGGAAGAGGAAAATCATGTTTCAAAATTGGTGGTGGATGGAACTACAATCACTAATTCAAGTGAGATAGTTGGGGCCTTTAAGGAACACTTTAGATCCACCTTTAAGAGACCCTTGAATGATAGGGTCTCGCTTGAAGGTCTTGAGTGGGCAAGATTACTTAATGATATCAAAGAGTGGTTGAAAAGGAGGTTTCAGTTGGAGGAAATTAAGGAGGTTGTCTTCTCTATGGATAGGTTTAAAGCACCAAGGCCAGATGGGTTCACAATGGCATTCACTTGAATAAAAAGAAACAAAAAAGATTTGTTTTCTGATGTAATTTCAGAGAGAAAAGAAAAGAAAGATCAGTCCAGAACCGAAGAGGAGAGAGAGAGAGAGAGAGAAAGGGTGTGGATAGATCTATCTGGCCATCCCACTAATTCTTATTTATACTTGTAAGTTGTAACTTAAACAAGGGTAGAATTCCTCTAATACCCTTATTAACTTCATAAGAAAACAAAACAAACAAACAATGGCCTAACTACCATAACTGTCATGAAATAACATAAGGAAATAAACAAAAATAAAGTGTGGAACCACACACTAACAACTATCTCTACACTCCCCCTCAAGTTGGGAGTAGATATTCGTCATTCCCAACTTGCCTTAGTGAAGAGATCAGCTAGCTGCATATCTGAGGCAATATAGGGAAGGAACACTTCTTGAGATGCAACTTGCTCTCGGATAAAATGTCTGTCCACCTCAAAATGTTTAGTTTTGTCATGTTGTATCGGATTGTGGACAATGTTAAGGGCAGCCTGATTATCGCAATACAGCATCTGAGTTTCTCATATTCAACCCCCAGGTCATCAAGTATTAAGCTTCAACACTGGAGCGAGCAACAATTTTGTTTCTTACTTCTCCAAGAAACAAGATTTCCCCCTACAAAAGCACAATACCCGGAGGTAGATCTCCTATCATCAATACATCCAGCCCAATCAGCATCCATGTATACTTTTATCTTCATGTGACCACTATTCTTGAAGAGTATGCCTCTCCCTGGGCACCTCTTCAAGTAAGAAAGTATCCTTTCCATTGCAAGAAGGTGGGTGATTCTAGGAGAATGCATGTACTGACTAACACTGATAGCACAAAAAATATCTGGTCATATTAGGCAAAGATAAAGAAGCTTTCCAACCAACCTTTGATGCATAACCCTGTCTTTAAGGGGCTCTCCACCTTCTGCACTTATCTTATGATTAAGCTCAATGGGTGTGTCAGCAGGCTTCACTCCTAACTTTCCAGATTCTTCCAAAAAGTCAAGAACATACTTTCTTTGGGAGACAAAAATGCCATGTTTAAATCGAGCTACCTTAATCCCTAGGAAATAGTGAAGTTCCCCCAAATCTTTCACTTCAAACTCCCGGTGAAGATGTTGCTTAAGAGAGTCAATCTAACTAATATCACTTCCTGTCACTACAATATTATCTACATAGCAAATAGAGTCGCAGAGTAGTATGTTTTCTTAAAGAAGAGTGTGATCTGACTGAGCCTGCATATAACCAAACCTTTCCACAGCTAGTCTAATCCTATCGAACCAAACCCTTGGAGATTGCTCCAACCCATATAAAGCCTTCTTCAGTCAGCACCTTTCCTGCTTCTGTACTATAAAAACCCAGAGGTAACTCCATGTACACCTCCTCTTGCAAATCTCCATTGAGGAATGCATTCTTAACATCCATCTGAAATAGTGGCCATGAGAAATTTGCAGCAATGCATAACAAGGTTTAAAATGTCGATGTCGATGGAAATGTCACTTACCAAAATATAGGACATGATGTCAGAAATGTCGAGGGGAAATGTTGTAAAAATTAGATACATTGTGGAAATATAATGAAATATGTGGAAATATGCAATGATATTTTGTAAAATGATAAAAGAAGAATTAATACATATTTCTAGACTATTACCTTAATCCCAACCATTATATAAAGCTAAGAAATTAAGATCAATAACAAATTAGTAAATGACGATTTACTGATTTATTATGCATTTTGATGTTTTTACAAGGTTATCYRATATTTTCTTTTCTTATTTTTAATTCTGATTTATTATAATTTCTAATATATTTATTTCACACTAGTAAATAGAAATACATTTATTTTGATTTTTTAAATATTAAAGTTATAATACATTATATTTTATTATAAATTTAATAAACTGATTCTCCTTTTTGTAGCATTAAGATTATGATAAATTCTGATTTCTTATAAAACATAATGAATTTATTATGACTTTTAATACTAAATTTATAATAAACTATGACTTAGTATAAAATTTAATAAATTTATTCTGATTTTTTATATTAAATGTAGAATATGATTTATTATAAAATTTAGTAAACATTTTCTGATTTTAATAAATATTTTAAAAATACTAACTAGTTAATATTTTATTACTTGAAAAATATTTTATGTTTTCTATTATAAAGTAATTAATTTATTCTTTTGTTTTTATTTTTTGTTAATTCTTTTTATAAATATTTTATGTGAAATATTAAATAGAAATTATTAATGGAATAACTTATATTAATATACTGTATTATATTAATATAATATACTAATATATTAAATTATTAATGTACATTAGTCGACATCCTATCAACATAATAGGAAAAACTGTGTTTGGTAAGGCATCTGCAACAGTGGGCTCAACAATGAAAATGGAGTTTGGATCTAGGGTCGTAGAAGAGATTGGGGTCAGCCTAGACTATTGAGGATCGAAGTCAACCTGCCTCCATTGCCTGAGGTACACCCTCAATTCCCTGCAATTCCGACAACCCACTTCACCACACTCCCCCATAGTGACTAGAACAGGTAATGGAACTTCTGGGGCTGAAATCCCTACCTCACTACTCTCCCCCTAAGAAGAAATCTTATGATAGTAAGGCACATCGTCAAAGAATGTGACATCCATAGACACAAACTGTCTCCTAGAAACAAGCTCATAGCAGCAATACCCCTTTTGGTTTTGTGCATACCCAAGGAAGATACATTTGGCAGCTTTGGGATCAAATTTGGAAAAATTAGGTCCAAGGATTTGAACAAAACAAGTGCACCCAAATGTTTTAAGGGGAATAGTGAATAAGTCCTTGTCTGAATACAAGAGGTTGAATGGTGTTTTCATGTCTAAAACCCATGAAAGAATTCTGTTAATAAGGTAAACAGTTGTACGAATTGCATCCCCCCATAAGCGTATAGGAACATTAGAATTTAGCATGATGCTTCTGGCTACTTCCAAGATATGTTTATTTTTTCTCTCAGCAACGCCATTCTACTGAGGTGTATGATGACAATTGCCCTAATGAATAACTCCATGATCAAGGAAATATGAGGCCAAGGGTTTTGCAAAATACTCTTTGGCATTATCGGATCTGAGAATTTTGATCCTAATTCCAAATTAAGTCAGCCCCATCTGATGGAAAGCCTGGGTCAAAGAAGGGACCTCATCTCGATAGTGCATAAGGTAAACCCACGAGAAATGAGTATAATCATCAACAAACAACAAGAAGTATTTGTACCCCTAGGGGTGTTAATGGTATTCAAAAATTTGATTTCGAATTCAAGATTCGATATAATCAAATCGAATTTGAATATCTAATCAGTCGAATTCGGATATCCTATTCATACCGAATAGTTAATCGGATTCAAATTCGGATATGACCTGATTCGATTCGATGAATATCCGAATTCGACCGATTATTTAATTCTTATATATAATATGTAAAATATTTAAATGTCTTATATAATTATATATAATAATTAAACTATATAAATAATTTATATATTTATATACTTTATATAAATAAAATATTTATTTTATATATTTATTAATTACCTAAAATAATTAATTAGTCGAATTCAAATCGAATCGAATATTTAATCAGACTCAAATTCGAATATTAACTTTTAATATCCGTCAGATATCGAATCAAATTCGGATATTGAATTTTCTAATTGGATTCGAATTCGATCTGTTTAC